CCCCCCCCCCCCCCCCCCCCCCCCGAGAATAAGTCACGGCGTTATCGACATTAGGGAGGACTTAAACTAGGTCCTTTATGAAAGAATGACTTACAAATAGTAGGATCAAATGTGTATGGTACCACTCCATTAGGCCATTGACGCCGAGAGTACGCACTGCTTCCGCGAGTAAAACCGCCATTTAAGTCAAGTCCCATGTCAACAGCAAAACGCTGGGCTGGAGTTAAAATGATGTCTCCCTCAAACAGCCCCAGTTCATTAGTATTCTCTGTGGGAACAAATTAAAAAAAAGAAAGAAAGAAACGCGGTCTTGAAAAGACTACTTATCACAAAGCACTTTTTCCACAGCACTGTGATGTGTGGTATATATATATTGAAATTTATAATAAGCAATTCCGGGCACAAAAGCAAGACACACGAGCCAAAAGAGGTACCCTCTCTTATTAAAAACTTTTTTAAAAAAGTAATCGATCTTGATCTTTGCCCTCAATCAGTCAATTTAAAACTAATCAGCCAATCTGCCATGCATGTTGCCAGAAAGATCTGCGAAAAAAGTGATCTTTAAACTAGAGTAAGAAGGTGTCTTTTTCAGACAGTAGACTAATATGAAAACTTGTATTTCTCCTTCATTTAAAATTGAAGCCAGTACCTTCTGGATTTTCGGCAAATGCAGTTCCAGCAACTAATAGAACCACCAACAGCTTCATGGTGTCCGCAATCATCTGTTCCTTTTTTTAGCGTCAAAGTCGATTAGAAAGTAACTTACCTTATAGTAAGCCAGACTTTTATGCTAGAACGCTCATTTTCAGCTGCTTGCCTGATTAATCACATCTGAAGCCTGCATAGGGTTCCTTTCAAAAGGATTGTTTTGTAGTTTCGTTCATCGTTATTGTGGTTTTTGTATTTTGCCAGTAACTTTTAGCAGGTGATAACACCCTTAAAACGCCTTGCACACAAAAGTACATTGGAAAATCAAATAATTATTTTTTTAGATCGTATTACAACAACGGAGTGTTAAGCGATACAAATTGAGTTTGCATTTATGTGATAAATGTATTTATCATTCTAGGTGACAACCACCCATAAAACCGCGCGTCTGACTGAAAAGTGGTAGATGAGCCAGAAAGAAGCACCTAATCATCTTAATCTTTAATGTAAGCCGATACAATAGTTCATGATCACGAAAGTATTCATAAAATATTGCCAGAACTTTGTCTTTGAATTACTTCAAGAATTTTTTATTATCTCTGTCGTCGCATCAGGGTTTAGCAAACTGCGGTTGCACCTCGTGATATTCAACCGATTTCTTACAATCTGTATAATTATCCAATTTGTGAAATCTCCTCTTCCTTGTTTGATGCATTATATCCAAGAATGATCCCCACTCTTCCTAAATTTAAGATGTACTAGCTAATAAAATATTGTCATTGTTGTCCCCAGCAAATTAAAGTATAAGAAGTGCTATTATTTTCGGAAACGCGGTGGCGGGTGGGAATGTTGGCCAGTAGTACGTTTATTTTGATCCGAACTGTTTTAAGACTGCTCCACTTTAGCCTTTTACTTCTTTTTGTTTACCTCTTCCAGCCAGGAAAACTATGAAATTTATTTAGATTAGCGCTTGGTGCTCCTCATTGCGCATGCACCAACTAAGGTGTTTCTTTACTTGAATTTGCGACCCTTAATTATTAGTATATGCGTACCATTTACACGGAACTTGGTCATTATCATTTGTTTAATACCTTAAATCCTCTATTAAGCCCCCCAGGGGGCTTATTTTTTTCAAGCACTTTTGAGGGGGGGCTTAATAGAGAGGGGGGGCTTAAAAGAGAGGGGGGGGCTTATTTAATTTAGCGAAACGCATCACCTGTAGCAAAAATACCGTGGTATGAGACAGAGTAGACTTACGCGTTGTACAATTAAAGTCACTGTCAAAAGTATTTATTTCACTTGTGGGAGCCTAAAAGTAACAAAAACAAAATTCCTATTCTTCAAATATGTTCTCCACAGAGAACTAGAGCGCAAAGTTGAGAAAGTTAAGCATATGAAGTTGGAGGTCATGCTGCCAAAGACCAGAAACACTATGAACTTTCAGCCTGAATAGGCCATAACTTATAAGTCAACGTTACACGTCAATTTGTTTTTGGGGGCTTATTTAATTTAGCGAAACGCATCACCTGTAGCAAAAATACCGTGGTATGAGACAGAGTAGACTTACGCGTTGTACAATTAAAGTCACTGTCAAAAGTATTTAATTCACTTGTGAGAGCCTAAAAGTAACAAAAACAAAATTCTTATTCTTCAAAAATGTGCTCTTGGCCTCATGTTCTTCGGTAATTTTTATGAATAAACCATAACTGATCAGTTCACGTTAATCATTAATTCTTTTTTTTTTGAAGCATAAGGATTGGGGGAGGGGGAGGGGGAGGGGGGGCTTATTTGAGAGGGGGGGGCTTAATAGAGGATTTACGGTATGCGTTTTTATCATTTACCAGTAAAGCCTACCCTTCACAGCCGAAGATTGATGGCGTGGGGTCAGCTAAATATAAAAAATATATGTTGGACGACCGCTGACCCCAGGACCCATCGCCCATGACCCATGTTGCACGACCGCTGACCCCTTTAACAAGTTTTCACTTCAATCTCGACCCCAGGTCTCTTCTGCGCCTGACGACCAGGGATGATATTGGTTTTTACTTCCAATTTTCAATAATGTGCCGATTTGAAGTTAAAAGTCCAAAAACGAGTATAAATTGCAAACAGGTGTTCAAAAGAGTCACCTTTAAATCATGCTTTATTGATAGAAGTTGATAAAAAAAGTAACAGAAAATATAATTCAAGTTTTGCTTTGTTTTTGAAAATTTTGCTTTTGCAGATCTAACTTGTTATTTGATCTGAGTGTACGATCTTAGGTTACTTGCAAGTACCCAATAGCCACGTACTTGTACACCATAACCAGTCATTTTGAAAGGCGTTGGACTGGACAACACGCTCTATTTGGGGACCTCAGGAGTGCAGCCTAAACGTGTGCGGTGGCCTCTGTATAGAAAAAATGTAAAATTGTCATTCCCAGCACAGTTTTTTTTTCAACCCATTAATGTGCCTTATCTTGAGTAAAACCTAGTGGTTCTTTCAATCCCAGAGTCCGTCCCATGATTATAAGAATCATGAAGTAGTTTGAACTTTAGCAGAGTCTTTGGACGAAATTTTACGGTCAGCTGCATGGTGCTACCTTTGAAATGAGACCTTTCTGGCGGCACTTTCACATGGCACTATTTCTTTAATTTGTATGTAGCTCCAACTATACTGTTTCTTAGAATGAAGACGATGTGAACTGCGAAAATACAACGAATATACTGATCTAATTCTCTCGATGAAATCCAGTGGTGTTAACATTTGAAAGAAACCCTCCTTCGGTAGCTGTCCTTTCACGTGGTTTCATCATGATTTTTATGTAACACTCAACGCTTAATAAGTCGCTGGCCAGTCAAATTACCTTTTACGAAACCTCTTCGGAAGTATGTTTTGGTATTAGATAAAACGTTTGAGTTTATGGATGTCTTTTGAAATACTTTGGTGCTGCCATTGAGACTGGACGATTTTTGCATGCAAAAATGCGGAACTTCTGCTGTGAGACGCGCCGTTCTCTATTGCAGACCGCATACAATCATGAAGGGGAGTCTCAACAACCCGTATCTGACACGGCTCGTAATTCTAATGAATAATAGAATTTGCTTTGTACCAGTTCACTTTCTGTGGGCGATCGTAAACGATCCGATAAATCTCCAATACTACTAACAATGGTACAAAATCTGTGAAATTGTGAAAAAAGGCTCAATTGCAATAAAAATAACGCGTTCCTGCATCTCTTTTTTCTATAAATTCTACTTATTTTGCGCAATAGATGTAGGAAGGACTGCTTGCACAATGTCTCAATTTTCATTTTACCGACGTCCCACTGAAAAGTTTACATGTCTGTGTTTTAAAGCTGTGATTGAGTTTTTCATTAACGTCCATTCAACTTTTTCTTTTTTTTTCCTCTTCTTCTTTTTCCGATTTCTTTGTTGCGTAATTTCGAGTAATTGACGACGCTTCGTACCGTTAAACGGTGTTAAACGATTTTTAATTGGTTTCCACGAGTGAATGGTGACACATTTCAGATGTATTTAAACAGGCTTAAGGAGGATTCGTCTGAGTGCTTTAAAGAGCGGTCAGTCAAGCGATAAAGATACTTTTTATACAAGCATCTTTCCCAAGGAAGGCTACCATGAAGTTCTTGTTTATTTTCACAGCTTTCCTCATTGTTCTAGCTGATGCAGAGAATGCGGAAGGTATGCGGGATTGCAGTCGGGAGAGCTAGGGAGGGGCCGGGGTTCATTCCGTATTTTAGTCTGAAGTATACTTTTTCAGCCATTGTGGTCTGGAACGAGCAATGAGTTTGGACATGCATATTTTGACATTGATTCTCCTCTTGAAAAGTGCGCTTTGAGACTTTTGATGAATTTCGAGCATTTTTTAAATGTCAAGGTAAATAGACGCAGCTGCTGAGCAGCTGGGAATATGTGTAAGAGTATACATGCTGCATCGGTCTGATCTGAAATAGGATATCTAACTTTGGTTCTTGTCCCAGACGCCTTTCCCTCAGAAATGGGTGAAGTGCACTGTACACTAGGTTTGGGCAAGAGCCATAATTATGGCTCTTGGTTTGGGTCAAGTGTCAGTTTTGTTTGAAATAGAATAAAGAATTTAAATAGAGTGAATGCCTGTGAGGCACCTCCACCAAATTCTTCTGAGAGTTCTTCAGAGCCCCCTTCCCTCCCCCCCTCCTTCGATTGCCCTCTTCTTAATGGAGTTAACGATAGTTGCCCAGTTTTAAGCCTTCTGAGTCAATAAATGGGGGAAGAAATCGCGCACCACTCGCTGAAAAATTCCATTTTCAGTTTCACAATGTGGAAAGTACTGTTTGAAGTGGTTTCACACATTTAACTAAGTAGACCACTGACATCAGGCTATATCTTAACACATCAAGAATCGATTAAGAAAGGAAATAACTGATGTTTCAAAGGAAGTCAAGTCTTTTTCATTGCTAACTCAGGCAGGTCTTCCTCTCTGGTTTTTTTAGATTAAAAATTCCTCATTTCCTCATTTTTTCTCACTCTGTATCATCCCAGGCAACTGTTTTACTTGTATTGCTGGTCTTTATTCATGTTCGGTTTGTAGCCTAGCCGTTCCACTCATGTCCACTGAAGTCGCGCGTTACCGGTTTGTGTCCTTTGCACGGAATAACTTAGTCATTGGGAACTCTCCATTGCAAATCAGTTTGTAACGTTTACGAATGTACTTAGAGCTTTATTCATGCTCTAGGCACTTCTCTAAGTGAAATCACTGCTTACTTCTCTCCACATGTGCATCAACAGAGAATGGCGACTTGATCGAAGCTGATCTGTTCGAAGGAGACATTGTACTTGAGCCTGTACAAAGACTTGCGGTTGACTTAGGAATAGAGATACGCGGCAGCATGGGGAATCGTCTCTGGCCCAGTGGAATTGTCCCGTACACCATTGCTCCAAGTCTGTGTAAGAAAACGTTTTTAGTGTTTATTAGAGAGCTTTAGACTTGAGGACAAGAACAAGTACGAGATTTAACTTAAAGGTTTTACGCGTTTTCTCAAAAAAGAGACCTCCCGGAAAGCTACATTTTACTTTTTATTTTCGCCAAGAACGTTAGTACGGTTATTTATACTGAAGGAGGTTAAACCCTCTCTCGATATGGCAAAATAATTGAACTTCTTACTTTTGATAACTTGTTCCTGCCAAAACGACATTCTCGCTTAAAACGCATAGTAGAATGATGACGGCTATCACGTTTTCCCTCCAAAAATGACGGTGGTTGAGAAGATCTTGTTCCCGTAGTCGTCCTCGTCTCAGAATCTAAAGCTCTCCACTATCTTGGGCATTCATACCCGGACGTTACCCCATAAACATGGCGGGAGGTCAGTAACGCACTCCTTAAAACAAATTAACTGGCACACAGATAGTTCCCGTCATTTTAGGCACAAAACCATACATAAAAACCTCCAAAAGGACTTGCGACAAGCAAGCCTTGTGTCAATCATATTACCTTTTAGCATCCTTAAAACATGAAAGATAACCCGGGCTCTTTAATAGTACCACAGTCCACAAGGTGTATTATATTGTATGGAGGGAGAATTTGAGCAAATTATCACGAAACTTCGTGCGTGTGAGCATTTTGGACAACAACAACTAACTGCAGAGTCAAATCAAATCAAATCAACTTTATTGGTACATCCAATTAAAATGGGTTTTCACATACCAATTACAATAAAATCTAATATGAACAATAGAAATTCAATATAAACATTTGAAAGTGAAAAAACATTACCATACTATTTAAAAAATATAAAATATGCATAATTACACCTATTGAGTGTCAATGGCTTAAAAACTCGTCAAGGGCACGTCCTTTAATCGCATTCTTAAAAACATTAAATGACTCTATGTTTGCTAAACTTTCTGGAAGGTCATTCCAGAGCTGAACAGCCCTATATGAGAAAGATCGCTGACCTGTTGCTGATCTAAAAGATGGTACATGAAGTTTATCTTTATTCCTAGTATTTCTAGTATGCATCTGCCTTCTTGTCGAAAACTTATTACACAAGGATGGTGGGGCTAATCCCTTTATACATTTGAAAGCCATTAAAATGTCTCTAACCTCCAGTTGCTTAGCAACCGGCAACCAGTGGAGTTCCTTTAACATCGGCGTGATGTGCTCATACTTTCTTGTGCCAGTCACAATCCGTGCCGCAAAATTCTGAACTTTTTGAAGCCTAGCAATGTTCTTTTTTGTTGTACTAGACCACATGGAGGAACAATAGAAAATCTTGCTGAACACTAATGAATTTATGATGGTTATGAGCGTAGACCTATCAAACAAATGTTTCACACGATTGATTTGGCACAGGCTACCTGTACACTTAGATACAACATCGGTCACATGTTCGTCAAAACTAAGGCGCGAGTCCACGATGACCCCCAAATCTTTTGCAGAACGAGACGGTAGAATCTCCTTACCGAGTAGCGTAACTCCAAAACCCTCCGGCACACGAGCTAACATCTGCGGGGTTCCAAGAAGCAATAACTTAGTCTTATCTGGATTTATCAGCAAGCTGTGTGTGCAACACCAGGCGGCAATCCGTTGCAAATCTTCGGATAAATGTTCCACAGCCATGGCTGTCTCCTGGACAGGAAACGAGAGATAGAGCTGGGAATCATCCACGTAACTCTTTAGTGAGCACAGGTTAGGGACAGCTGGAAGATCGTTGATGTATATATTAAAAAGGGCTGGTCCCAAGATCGACCCTTGAGGTACACCATAAGCTACCTGGCGAGGATCTGACACCTCACAACCAATCCTCACCCGCTGATTCCTGTCCGTCAGATAGCTTCTAAACCATTCCATGGCCTGTATAGACACACCCAGTTCTCGAAGTTTACGTAATAGGATCCCATGCTCGATACTGTCAAAGGCCTTTGACAAGTCCAACAGAACCAACGCTGTGACTTGTTTTCGATCCATTGCTTCGAGAATCATATCGGACATGAAAATATGGAGTGTTTCTGTCGAGTGCTTCTTCTTGTTTCCATTTTGATGTTCAGTTAAACAGTTCTGACGTGTTGTGTACTCCGTTAACTGATTAAGAGCTGCTCGTTCGCAGATCTTAGACAGAGCGGGTAGCAGTGATACTGGCCGGTTGTTATTAGCAACCTCATGATCTCCTTCCTTTAATATCGGTATCACCACGGACTCTTTCCAAGCAGATGGAAAAACTGATGTTAAAAGCGATCTATTTATAAGCTCTGTCAGAACTGGAAGTATAACTGGTAGGGCATCCTTGATCACACTCATGTGTAACTTATCCATTCCTAGTGCCCTGTTCAAAGGAAAAGACAAGATGATCTGGTGTACCTCAAAGGTAGTGACTGCGCGGAATCGGAATTCATCTAGTTGGAATAAGTTCTTGGATGAGGGGGGCTTATACGCTGGAAGAACGTTAACTGAGTAAGTTAAGTTAACAGAGTAAGTTTCATTGACTTTTTTTCATATTTCCTACAAATTTTAGGATCTTATTTTTACACCATATACAAACACTGTAATCTTACGGGATTCGCACTCTGGTACTATCAAAATAGTCTGAGTGGGTAACCTGTGCTTAAAGCGGGAGTATGAAATCTGCAGTACTGGTAGTTTACTTAACTCTTTGTGTGCGTTTCTCTGTTTTCTTTGTTCTTGTGTCCCTGACCTAAACATTTAAACATCTTTTCTTTTAACTGGCTGCCTGGTATTTTTAACTCTTAGGTTATTTCGGGCAGCCAGCGCCCCTATCATCGTCTGTACTATTTGTTATAAATTTTTATTTCTTTTATATTATAGGGTGAAATAAAGTGTTGTTGTTGTTGTTGTTGTTGCAGGCTATATATCCCTTACTTATAAAAAAGATGATGCGCACTAGCTCCCCCGGCATGTATTATACTCATTCTATATTTCCTTCCCTGCGGACTAATTCAAGACTTGATTCTTTCGACTAGTATAAAAATCCTTCTGGCCTACTATGACCGGCACATCTACTCCATGCGGATTTATGAGCTGAAATAATTCGTCTATTAATTCTTTGTTCTTCTTTCTAGCTACGCAGCCAAAAGTGATGCAGGCAATTGAGAATGCCATGAATGAATGGAGCAGTGTAAGTTGTATCCGGTTCATTCGCAGGACTACAGAGCAGTCTTACATTGAGTTCTTTAAGGGAAAAGGGTACGTTAAGTTTTATCTGTACTGAAAGCAAACTTTTTAGGGTTCCTGACTTCACGGAAAGGGTTGACCGGTGAACATGTGACATCACTTTATTATGAATCGTGAGATTTTGTAAGGGCTCAGGTATAGATTAAGGCATGGGCCTCAATTTGCCTTAATTTGCTGTCTTCAAAAGTGAGAGGGTGGTCTATATCTAAGAGCTTTAGATGAAGAGACATAAAACTTTGCCAGCTAACCACATTTGTAGTTTGTGTCAATTTTGTGCTTTGAAATTATGCAAATTAGGTCACGTGACCTCCATCGGATGAATAAGCTTGTTCTTCAAACGGCAACACTTTTTCGTGTGTCTTCAATTATTTTACCGGTTGCATTATGTTAAAGCCGTGTAATGTATCACTTCTGTGCTTGGCCTTTTTTAGATATTTAAAATCGAAAGCGTTAAGATGGGATAGAATTGCTTTGGGGGACTGGGTCTAGTTGAAAAAGCCGTTTATTTTCTAAAACAGTAAAAAATTCAAAAAAGGCCAAGCACAGTCTTGTAGATGCTTGCATTACACATTGTCTTAAACCAGTCCGGTTTAATAACTCACAACAAAAAGTGTTGCGATTTTTGTTTAAAGACTTTTTATTGTTTTCTGGCCGTGTGGAGTCACGTGATAACATTTGCATAATTGAACATCACCCAGTTGACAGAAACCACACATGTATGTATCTGGCAAAGTTTCATCTTTCTACTGCTTACGTGCTCAGAGATAGACCACCCTTCATCACTTTTTTACTGAATCATTGGGGACCCATGCCTTAATTTACCTGAGGGGGCCAACTTTGCCGATCTCTTGAAAATGGTCACATTTTGGGCAAACTATATTCTGTAGTGTCTAGAACATTCTCTATCAAACATTCTAAGAAGCGCTAAGAAAATATCCGGCTTTTATTTTCTCTCTAGCTGTTATTCTAGCCTAGGAAGAACTGGAAAGAAGCAACAACTCAGTTTAGCGGCAGGATGTTGGGGAAAAATTACGGTGGCACACGAAATTGGTAGGTTACTTGCAAGTTAAATAGCCGTTAGGTCTTGCCTAACAGGGACTGTGAAAAATATGTGTGGTCGGGCTAGAAAGCTAAAAACGCCCATGTAGGAACTATTAATACTGACAATCCAAACCCAGTTAAGCTGCAAGCATGGTTAATTCGTGCCATGCATTCGGAAGATACACCATGACAGTTGACTGAACGCCAGGGTTGGAAATTTGGGGCGTCGCCATTCCATTGTGAAACAAAGAACCAGTTTATAAGGGTTGGTACTGGGTGCAAAGAAGGCATTTGCAGTTGGCGCGGAAAATGAAAAGTGAAGTGAGCAACTTATGACTTATTTGTTTTCTGTTCACAGCACATGCTCTCGGCTTTGCTCACGAACAGTCACGACCAGATCGAGATGAATACGTCACAATTAACTTTGAAAACATCCAGGCAGGTTGGTGACAGTTTGGTATTTGTAAAGAAAGCGGAAAGATATAACTTAACTTTGCAATACTGCAAACAGCTACCAGTGCAGGCATGTAGCAGGAGAAAAACAGAAATAATAAGACAATATAAGATGTCTATCTCGACTAAAACCCAAACTTTATTTAAGGACCTTTTGAAAACCAAACTACGTACATATTGGGGACCTCAGTCACACAGTATCGACGAGGGCGACGGAAGCGAAACCGTCACTATTAAAACTGTTAAAACGAGTTCGCGTTTTCACAAACTTTGTCGCGTTTATTCTAACTCGCTTAAGATGTCAAATTTAAGTCCGAATTTTTCTGCAGATGAACTATTGGGTACCGCGCCCAAGTTCAGATGACAAAGAAACGACACACGTCGTCGTGTGTTTACGTCCTCCATAAGTCGTCGCATAAGGCACTTTCACGTCGTGGTCGTGCAGGAATGGCAAGGAAATTTAGAAATGTACAAAAAAGTGTCCTGCACGTGCAAAATTGTTGTATCGCTTAATAAACCTATTCCTTTTTTCGCGATCTCGTTGCCGTCGCCGTTAGTTGAATGCTCTCTTATCTTATCTCTATCTAGTTAAGTTCAATCCTCTTGACTTCGATTTATTATCTGTGTAGTTCTTAATTGAATGATTTATGGCCTTTCAGGAAAGCAGCATAATTTTAAGAAGTACTCGTCTTCTCAAATCAATTCCCTTGACACCCCATACGATTATGAAAGTGTTATGCATTATGGAGCTAAATACTTCTCAAAGAACAATCTACCGACAATTGTGCCTAGGCAGAGTGGGGTAAGTATTAACAGGAGCTCGTTTCAGCATTGACAACATCTTGAATTTTTGGGCATAAGAAAATAGCAAGAGCCCTGGGAAATCTAGCTACTATGTAAAGGTGGATGACGATTGGAATAATTTGGCCGACGGAGAACGGAATGCATAGTCAACCATTCGCTCTGTTTGTCTTGCGCCCGTGATTATTTAATTCCATTTATGTTCAGTCGAAATGCAAATGAACAGTCCTTGCATGGGTATTATTTGCAATTTCCATATGACCATATGTTTTGCAGGGAAATAAGGCTGGGGGATGCTTTCTGATGCCAGTCATAAAGAGCCTATTAGGTCTATTAGGAACTTGAACTCTAACTTTTCGCGCCAGAAAACCATCAAAATTACTCCGGGTGTCAAATTCTTATTCAGGCGCGGATCCACACCGGCTTCCACCGAAAACCGACCGAAATCGGTCAGATTTTTTCATAATAAATGTATATACTTTTAGTAATAAAAAATACTTTCTAAGTTGAAACAGGTCCTGGAGGAACCTGCTCTTAGTGCCCCAGGACCTAATAGAAGCTTGTGCCTTCGGCGCTTGTTTAGGAAATCGGTCAGTATCTATCCTAGATCCGGGCCTGTTATTCATACCATCTGCAGTGAATTTTGTTTTTTTTTTCCAGGTAAAGATTGGTCAACGAAAATATCTCAGTGGAATGGACATTCTACAGATGAACCTACTTTACAAATGCCGTTAACCAAATGCTTTTGGTAATGTTGAACTTGAAATGCCTCGTATGCCGCGTGCGTTAGGCTTACTTATCTTTCTCATAACTTTCATTACGGTTCTCATTGTTATACACGTACATCCCAGTGTTAAGGCTAGAATTTTTTCTCCAATAGTGTGTACTCTCATTGGTTACTTGAGGTCACATGATATCCATCACTAAACACATAAATGACTGATCCCTAGGGAAACAGTTAATTTTTTAAACACTGTTATTCTTCGGCCATTTCAACTGCAGTAAAAAGGCCAGTAAAAATAAAATACAAACTGCGGTAATAAGCATTGTGAAGACTTGACGTTTCGTTTGTAACAACATACGTCTTCAGAAGTGACGGTTCAATAGATGGCAGTAAAATTTAAACAACAGACTCAATTTGAAGTCTGTAGGAAATTATAATATATGAAGCTAGTAGAGAAAAACTTAATTTTGTTTCCCGAGAATCTCAATGTTTCCCTCGGCTCCACCAGCCTTTAGATGATTTGTTATATAGCTGGAAATTTTGAAGCTGGAAATTCATTAAACCTCGCTGTAACGGAGGTCGTCGGTCAACATTCGCGGGTAACAGTGCACTGTTACCCTCTGACGTCATAGATTTTGCAATGTTACCTGCTAAGAGATTTTGGCGGGAAAGAGTTTCATTGGTACATGTCATGTGACCTTGAAGCAACCAATGAGAGCACAAGCTGTTGGGAAAAAAATGCTTTTCCCATCAAAAGTTTTGAGAGGACAACATTAAAAAGCCGTGACGTTAGAGGGCAGCAGTGCACCCGCGATTGCTGACTGCTCTAGTCTACTCCCTGAGATTTACTTTCACAAAAAAAAACTGTACACGTAGAAGATTTTTCTCGTTGTATTTTATTTTATTTTGTTCTTTACCCGTTAACTTTACCTTAAGGCTGAGTTTAATAATACAAAGAGTCCAGATAATAGGTGTTCTCGACATTTCAAGCAACTAATTATTTTTTAAATCTTTTTAGGATCTTCATCATGAGGGAAAAATTAACCGAGATGAAGAATTAACCGAGATGACTGAAATATTATTGTATTGTATGACCATTGTGAATCAAAATAAAAAAGGGACCCAACGACGATTCCCTCCTAAATACGTTGAAAACACTTTTTAGGCTATCCAAAGTAGTTTTAGACCTCTAGAAATATATTCTTAGCAGTGCTATAACACTTATATCTGTTCGGTCATCCTAGTGGACTTTGAGTCTTTTCGAAACTTCAAGGACTTTAGTATTATATTCCCGAAAATTTTAGATGCAATTTATCGCTTTACGAATGTGAGAATTTTTCTGATTCCTATTTCAATCACAGTATTGAATCCGAAAATTTTAGGCTTTCTTTTTCTACGAAAAACGGCATTACTCGAGAAGTGAAATGTGAAAAATTAAGCTTCAGAAAATCATCATAGGGAATTTAATAGATATAAGTTTCGAAAATTGTACATGGATGGAACGGTCATCTGAGAAATTTACGTCCGTGTCTCAAACAATAGAAAATTTTAGGCAAAATTTGCTTCTCCGAACAGATATTTTACAGAAAACAGTCGTTGGGTACCCCTGAATAAAGCGTGGGATAAAAAAAAATCCTCAATGTCTCATCTTGCTGTTGTTCCCCGCTAGTATTGACTTTTCACAGGCTATTCATAACGGAGCTGTAAAAAAATAAATGAGCTCCTTCACTGTCTCTAACACACGACACACGCAAACAAACCCACACACTTTGCACCGTTCTCCGCTATCTGAGCCGGCATCTGAGGCAAGCTGTTCTTATATAAAGGATGATTTCAAGTACTTCCTGATGACCCCACTAATTTTTACAGTAAACATTTTCTGTGATATATTAATTGCAAAGTGTAATACCATTTTTTAACAAAGCGTGTCAGCTTGCCAAGTACGCTAGCCTGCTGTTATTACATGTTATTACAGAGCGCGACAGCGATTTTTATTACAAACTCAGCGCGACAGGTGCATTCACAGAGAAGCCTGTTCCAGGCTCTTGGAAAGCTTGTCTTTTCATTCGTCCTGACTAAGCCGTGTCAACGGACAACGTGTTACAACTGACTATATGCGACCTACGATAAAACACACGAGTCCTTACTTACTAAGACAAAGTGCAAGATGCCGGTTGCTGCAACGAATGTGCAGTGCTGGTCAATATTGATTTTTATGAGGAAAAAAAGCGGTGGATGCGTCAAAATGTTCTAAAACATACGTTCATGCGTTAAATAAGATTATTTTCTTTCCTAACATGAACAAATACAAGCGGCCCTTATAAATATTAGTTTATATAAATTTGACACTCTCTCACTCAACCGTTTAATCGAAACAAAATATTCTGCGGTAAGTGCTACTGAGCGCATTTCGAAATTCTCGCAGACGTAAACAGTACATTAGCGGATTCAGAGAAGAGTTACAGAGCATTAATGTCGTAGTAAATTCGTAGACAGCAACTCCCTCTTTTGTTTTCGAGCTAGACATGTTGTTTATTGCTGTGGCGACAAAGAAAGGAAGGTAGCAGAGAAGAAATGTAAAAAAGACGTAGAATGTGTTAACAGCAGATTTCCGGAGTCTTTTTGAACGAGCAAGGTCAAATTGGGCCGTCTGTGTAAGCATTTGGCTATGTATTTGGGCTTTGTGCCTTTTAACAATAGCGTACAATTTTATGTAAATGGTAAATGTTAGAAAAAGTGACAAGGCAACGACAACGGCTGCTAGCGTTGAGTAAACTTCAAAACCTTTCAACCAAACCAGGCAGAGAAAAGCGTTAGTTACCCACATAACTATCTGTGTAGTGTTTATCCATCTCTCGGTTATATACTCCCGGTATCTCAAGTTCAGGCGAAGTGCCAGGTATCTGTCGGTGCCAATAACAGTTATGTACAAAAGTGAAAGACCTGCTAAGAAGGACGTTGATATACTATAAACGGCAACCACTTTAATTTTGTTTCCCGAGAATCTCAATGTTTCCCTCGGCTCCACCAGCCTTTAGATGATTTGTTATATAGCTGGAAATTTTGAAGCTGGAAATTCATTAAACCTCGCTGTAACGGAGGTCGTCGGTCAACATTCGCGGGTAACAGTGCACTGTTACCCTCTGACGTCATAGATTTTGCAATGTTACCTGCTAAGAGATTTTGGCGGGAAAGAGTTTCATTGGTACATGTCATGTGACCTTGAAGCAACCAATGAGAGCACAAGCTGTTGGGAAAAAAATGCTTTTCCCATCAAAAGTTTTGAGAGGACAACATTAAAAAGCCGTGACGTTAGAGGGCAGCAGTGCACCCGCGATTGCTGACTGCTCTAGTCTACTCCCTGAGATTTACTTTCACAAAAAAAAACTGTACACGTAGAAGATTTTTCTCGTTGTATTTTATTTTATTTTGTTCTTTACCCGTTAACTTTACCTTAAGGCTGAGTTTAATAATACAAAGAGTCCAGATAATAGGTGTTCTCGACATTTCAAGCAACTAATTATTTTTTAAATCTTTTTAGGATCTTCATCATGAGGGAAAAATTAACCGAGATGAAGAATTAACCGAGATGACTGAAATATTATTGTATTGTATGACCATTGTGAATCAAAATAAAAAAGGGACCCAACGACGATTCCCTCCTAAATACGTTGAAAACACTTTTTAGGCTATCCAAAGTAGTTTTAGACCTCTAGAAATATATTCTTAGCAGTGCTATAACACTTATATCTGTTCGGTCATCCTAGTGGACTTTGAGTCTTTTCGAAACTTCAAGGACTTTAGTATTATATTCCCGAAAATTTTAGATGCAATTTATCGCTTTACGAATGTGAGAATTTTTCTGATTCCTATTTCAATCACAGTATTGAATCCGAAAATTTTAGGCTTTCTTTTTCTACGAAAAACGGCATTACTCGAGAAGTGAAATGTGAAAAATTAAGCTTCAGAAAATCATCATAGGGAATTTAATAGATATAAGTTTCGAAAATTGTACATGGATGGAACGGTCATCTGAGAAATTTACGTCCGTGTCTCAAACAATAGAAAATTTTAGGCAAAATTTGCTTCTCCGAACAGATATTTTACAGAAAACAGTCGTTGGGTACCCCTGAATAAAGCATGGGATAAAAAAAATCCTCAATGTCTCATCTTGCTGTTGTTCCCCGCTAGTATTGACTTTTCACAGGCTATTAATAACGGAGCTGTAAAAAAATAAATGAGCTCCTTTTACTGTCTCAAACACACGACACACGCAAACACACCCACACACTTTGCACCGCTCTCCGCTATCTGAGCCGGCATCTGAGGCAAGCTGTTCTTATATAAAGGATGATTTCAAGTACTTCCTGATGACCCCACTAATTTTTACAGTAAACATTTTCTGTGATATATTAATTGCAAAGTGTAATACCATTTTTTAACAAAGCGTGTCAGCTTGCCAAGTACGCTAGCCTGCTGTTATTACATGTTATTACAGAGCGCGACAGCGATTTTTATTACAAACTCAGCGCGACAGGTGCATTCACAGAGAAGCCTGTTCCAGGCTCTTGGAAAGCTTGTCTTTTCATTCGTCCTGACTAAGCCGTGTCAACGGACAACGTGTTACAACTGACTATATGCGACCTACGATAAAACACACGAGTCCTTACTTACTAAGACAAAGTGCAAGATGCCGGTTGCTGCAACGAATGTGCAGTGCTGGTCAATATTGATTTTTATGAGGAAAAAAAGCGGTGGATGCGTCAAAATGTTCTAAAACATACGTTCATGCGTTAAATAAGATTATTTTCTTTCCTAACATGAACAAATACAAGCGGCCCTTATAAATATTAGTTTATATAAATTTGACACTCTCTCACTCAACCGTTTAATCGAAACAAAATATTCTGCGGTAAGTGCTACTGAGCGCATTTCGAAATTCTCGCAGACGTAAACAGTACATTAGCGGATTCAGAGAAGAGTTACAGAGCATTAATGTCGTAGTAAATTC